AGCTCCTGGAACATGCAAGCTCTTGGACTAGGCAAGCTCCTCGACCAGGCAAGCTCTTGGACCAGGCAAGCTCCTTGACCAGGCAAGCTAACGGGCCAAGAATGCTCCTGGATAAGGCAAGCTCCTGTACCAAGCAAGCTCCTGGACCAGGCAAGCTCCTGGACCAGTCAAGCTCCAAGACCAGGCACGCTCCTGGACCAGGCAAGCTCCTGGACTAGGCACGCTCCTGGACCACGCAAGCTCCAAGTCCAAGCAAGCTCCGGGACCAGGCTAGCTCCTGGACAAGGCAAGCTCCTGGACCTGGCAAGCTCCAGGACCACGCAAGCTCTCGGACCAGCATGCTCGTGGACTAGGCAAGCTCTTGGACCAGGCAGGCTTCTAGACCAAGCAAGCTGCTGGACCAGGCAAGCTCCTGGACCAGGCAAGCTCCTAGACGAGGAAAGCTCCTGGACCAGGCAAGTTCCTGGACCAGGCAAGCTCCTGGACCAGGCAAGCTCCTGGACCAAGCAAGCTCCTGGACCAGGCACGCTCGTGGACAAGGCACGCTCCTAGACCAGGCAAGCTCTTGGACCAGGCATGCTCGTGGACCAGGCATGCTCCTGGACCAGGCAAGCTCCTGGACCGGGCAAGCTCCTAGACCAGGCAAGCTTTTGGACCAGGCACGCTCCTGGACAAGGCAAGCTCCTGGACCACGCAAGCTCTTGGACCAGGCACGCTCCTGAACCAGGTAAACTCTTGGACCAGGCACGCTTCTAGACCAAGCAAGCTCCTGGACCAGTAAAGCTCATGGACCAGGCACGCTCCTGACCAGGCAAGCTCCTGGACCACGCAAGCTCCTGGACCATGCAAGCTCCTGAACGTGGCAAGCTCGTGGACCAGGCAAGCTCTTCGACCAGCCAAGCTTCTGGACCAAGCAAGCTCCTGAACAAGGCAAGCTCCTGGACCAAGCAAGCTCGTGGACCAGGCAAGCTCTTAGACCAGGCAAGCTCCTAGACCAGGCAAGCTCCTGGACCAGGCAAGCTCCTGGACCAGGCACGCTCGTAGACCAGGCACGCTCCTGGACCAGGCAAGCTCTTGAACCAATCAGGCTCGTGTACCAGGCAAGCTCTTGGACCAGGCAAGCTCTTGGACCAGGTAGGCTCGTGGACCAGGCAAGCTCTTGTATCAGGCAAGCTCCTGGACTGCGCAAGCTCCTAGACTAGGCACGCTCATGGAGCAGGCACGCTCTTGGACCAGGCACGCTCTTGGACCAGGCAAGCTCGTGGACCAGGCACACTCCTGGACCAGACAAGCACCTGGACCAGGCAAGCTCCTGGACCACGCAAGCTCTTGGACCAGGCACGCTCCTGGACCAGGCAAGCTCTTAGACCAGGCACGCTTCTGGACCAAGCAAGCTCCTGGACCAAGCAAGCTCCTGGACCACGCAAGCTCTTGGACCAGGCATGCTCCTCGACTAGGCAAGCTCTTGGACCAGGCAGGCTTCTGGACAAAGCAAGCTCCTAAACTAGGCAAGCTCCTCAACGAGGCACGCTCCTGGAACAGGCAAGCTCCAGGACAAGGCAAGCTCCTGGACAAGGTAGGCTCCTGGACCAGGCTAGCTCCTAGACCAGGCAAGCTCCTGGACCAGGCAAGCTCCTTCACCAGACACGCTCGTGGAGCAGACATGCTCTTGGACCAGGCAAGCTCTTGGACCAGGCACGCTCGTGGACGAGGCATGCTCTTTGACCAGGCAAGCTCCTGGACTAGGCAAGCTCCTGGACCAAGCAAGCTCCTGGACCAAGCACGCTCCTGGACCACGCAAGCTCCTAGACCAGGCAAGCTCCTGGACCAGGCAAGCTCCTGGACCAGGCAAACTTGTGGACCAGGCACGCTCCTGGACCAGGCAAGATCCTGGACCAGGTAAGCTCCTGAACCAGGCAAGCTCCTGGATCAGGGCAAGCTCCTGGACCAGGCACGCTCCTGGACAAGGCAAGCTCGTGAACCAAGCACACTCGTGGACCAGGCAAGCTCCTCAACTAGGCAAGCTCCTGGACCAGGCAAGCTCCTGGCCTGGCAAGCTCCTGGACGTGGAAAGCTCCTAGACCTGGCAAGCTCCTGGAGAAGGCAAGCTCTTGGACCAGGCAAGCTCTTGGACCAGGCAAGCTCTTGGACCACGCAAGCTCCTGGACCAGGCACGCTCCAGGACCAGGCACGCTCGTGGACCACGCACGAACCTGGACCAGGCAAGCTCGTGGACTAGGCAAGCTCCTGGACGAGTCAAGCTCCTGGACCACGCAAGCTCTTGGACGAGGCACGCTCCTCGACCAGGCAAGCTCTTGGACCGGGCAGGCTTCTGGACCAAGCAAGCTCCTGGACGAGGCACACTCCTGGATTAAGCAAGCTCATGGACCAGGCAAGCTCCTGGACCAGGCAAGCTCCCAGACCATGCAAGCTTGTGGATTAGGCCCGCTCCTTGACCAGGCAAGCTCCTGCACCAAGCAAGCTCCTGGAACATGCAAGCTCCTGGACCAGGCAATCTCTTGGACCAGGCAAGCTCCTGGACTAGGCAAGCTTCTAGACCAGGCAAGCTCCTGGACCAAGCAAGCTCCTGGACCAGGCACGCTCGTGGACCAGGCACGCTCGTGGACCGAGCACGCTCGTGGACCAGGAACGCTCGTGGACCAGGCACGCTCGTGGACCAGGCACGCTCGTGGACCAGGCACGCTCGTGGACCAGGCACGCTCGTGGAACAAGGGTCTAGCATGTGCAAAATAGCAAGAACAAGGGCCTAGCGTGTGCAAAATTGCAAGAACAAGGGACTAGCGTGTGCAAAATAGCAAGAACAAGGGCCTAGCGTGTGCAAAATTGCAAGAACAAGGGCCTAGCGTGTGCAAAATTGCAAAAACAAGGGCCTAGCATGTGCAAAATTGCAAGAACAAGGATCTAGCGTATGGAAAGAGCAAGAACAAGGTTATAGCGTGTGCAAAATTGCAAGAACAAGGGTCTAGCGTATGCAAAATAGCAAGAACAAGGGCCTAGCGTGTGCAAAATTGCAAGGACAAGGGCCTAGCGTGTGCAAAATTGCAAGAACACGGGTTTAGCGTGTGCAAAATAGCAAGAACAAAAGCATAGCGTGTGCAAAATTGCAAGAACAAGGGTCTAGCGTGTGCAAAATAGCAAGAACAAGGGCCTAGCGTATGCAAATTTGCAAGAACAAGGGCCTAGCATGTACAAAATTGCAAGAACAAGGGCCTAGCGTGTGCAAAAGTGCAACAAGGGCCTAGCATGTGCAAAATGCAAGAACAAGGGTCTAGCGTGTGCAAAATAGCAAGAACAAGGGTATAGCGTGTGCAAAATTGCAAGAACAGGGGTATAGCGTGTGCAAAATAGCAAGAACAAGAGCCTAGCGTGTGCAAAATAGCAAGAACAAGGGCCTAGCGTGTGCAAAATTGCAAGAATAAGGGCCTAGCGTGTACAAAATTGCAAGAACAAGGGCCTAGCGTGTGCAAAATAGCAAGAACAAGGGCATGGCGTGTGCAAAATTGCAAGAACAAGGGCCTAGCGTGTGCAAATTTGCAAGAACAAGGGTCTAGCGTGTGCAAAATAGCAAGAACAAGGGCATAGCGTGTGCAAAATTGCAAGAACAAGGGTCTAGCGTATGCAAAAAAGCAAAAACAAGGGCCTAGCGTGTGCAAAATAGCAAGAACAAGGGCCTAGTGTGTGCAAAATTGCAAGAATAAGGGCCTAGCGTGTACAAAATTGCAAGAACAAGGGCCTAGCGTGTGCAAAATAGCAAGAACAAAGGCATGGTGTGTGCAAAATTGCAAGAACAAGGGCCTAACGAGTGCAAAATTCCAAGAACAAGGGCCTAGCGTGTGCAAAATTGCAAGAACAAGGGCCTAGCGTGTGCAAAACTTCAGGAACAAGGGCCTAGTGTGTGCAAAATTGCAAGAACAAGGGCCTAGTGTGTGCAAAATAGCAAGAAAAAGGGGCTAGCGTGTGCAAAATAGCGAGAACACGGGCCTAGCGTGTGCAAAATTGCAAGAACAAGGGTCTAGCGTGTGCAAAATAGCAAGAACAAGGGCCTAGCGTGTGCAAAATTGCAAGAACAAGGGCCTAGCGTGTGCAAAATTGCAAGAACAAGGGTCTAGCGTGTGCAAAATAGCAATAACAAGGGCATAGCGTGTGCAATATTGCAAGAACAAGGGCATAGCGTGTGCAAAATTGCAAGAACAAGGGTCTAGCGTATGCAAAAAAGCAAGAACAAGGGCATAGCGTATGCAATATTGCAAGAACAAGGGCATAGCGTGTGCAATATTGCAAGAACAAGGGCATAGCGTGTGCAAAATAGCAAGCACAAGGGCCTAGCGTGTGCAAAATTGCAAGAACAAGGGTCTAGCGTGTGCAAAATTTCAAGAACAAGGGCCTTCCTTGTGCAAAATTGCAAGAACAAGGGCCTAACGAGTGCAAAATTGCAAGAACAAGGGTCTAGCGTATGCAAAATAGCAAGAACAAGGGCCTAGCGTGTGCAAAATTGCAAGAACAAGGGTCTAGCGTGTGCAAAATAGCAAGAACAAGGGCCTAGCGTGTGCAAAATTGCAAGAACAAGGGTCTAGCGTGTGCAAAATAGAAAGAACAAGAGCCTAGCATGTGCAAAATTGCAAGAACAGGGCCTAGCGTTTGCAAAATTGCAAGAACAAGGGCCTAGCGTGTGCAAAATTTCAGGAACAAGGGCCTAGTGTGTGCAAAATTGCAAGAACAAGGGCCTAGTGTGTGCAAAATAGCAAGAAAAAGGGGCTAGCGTGTGCAAAATAGCAAGAACACGGGCCTAGCGTGTGCAAAATTGCAAGAAGAAGGGTCTAGCGTGTGCAAAATAGCAAGAACAAGGGCCTAGCGTGTGCAAAATTGCAAGAACAAGGGCCTAGCGTATACAAAATTGCAAGAACAAGGGTCTAGCGTGTGCAAAATAGCAAGAACAAGGGCATAGCGTGTGCAATATTGCAAGAACAAGGGCATAGCGTATGCAAAATTGCAAGAACAAGGGTCTATTGTGTGCAAAATAGCAAGAACAAGGGCCTAGCGTGTGCAAAATTGCAAGAACAAGGGACTAGCGTGTGCAAAATTTCAAGAACAAGGGCCTAGCTTGTGCAAAATTGCAAGAACAAGGGCCTAGCGTGTGCAAAATTGCAAGAACAAGGGTCTAGCGTGTGCAAAATAGCAAGAACAAGGGCCTAGCGTGTGCAAAAATGCAAGAATAAGGGTCTAGCGTGTGCAAAATAGCAAGAACAAGGGCCTAGCGTGTGAAAAATTGCAAAAACAAGGGTCTAACGTGTGCAAAATAGCAAGAACAAGGGCCTAGCGTGTGCAAAACTGCAAGGACAAGGGTCTAGCGTGTGCAAAATTGCAAGAACAAGGGCCTTGCGTGTGCAAAATTGCAAGAACAAGGGTCTAGCGTGTGCAAAATAGCAAGAACAAGGGCCTAGCGTGTGCAAAATTGCAAGAACAAGGGCCTAGCGTGTGCAAAATTGCAAGAACAAGGGCCTAGCATTTGCAAAATTGCAACAACAAGGGTCTAGCATATGCAAAATAGCAAGAACAAGGGCCTAGCGTGTGCAAAATTGCAAGAACAAGGGCGTAGCGTGTGCAAAATTGCAAGAAGAAGGGCCTAGCCTGTGCAAAATTGCAAGAACAAGGGCCTAGCGTGTGCAAAATGTCAAGAACAAGGGCCTAGTGTGTGCAAAATAGCAAGAACAAGTGCCTAGCGTGTGCAACATTGCAAGAACAAGGGCCTAGCGTGTGCAAAATAGCAAGAACAAGGGTCTAGCGTGTGCAAAATAGCAAGAACAAGGGCCTAGCGTGTGCAAAATTGCAAGAACAAGGGTTTAGGGTTTTCCCGCTTTTCATCACCCCGCCCCATTCTCCCGCTTTCCAACACCCCTCCCCATTCTCCCGCTTTCCATCACCCCGCCCCATTCTCCCGCTTTCCATCACCCCGCCCCATTGTCCCGCTTTCCATCACTCTGCCCCATTCTCCCGCTTTCCATCACCCCGCCCCATTCTCCCGCTTTCCATCACCCCGCCCCATTCTCCCTCCTTCCATCACCCTGCCCCATTCTCCCGCTTTCCATCACCCCGCCCCATTCTCCCGCTTTCCATCACCCAGCCCCATTCTCCCGCTTTCCATCACCCCGCCCCATTTTCCCGCTTTCCATCACCCCGCCCGATTCTCCCGCTTTCCATCACCCCGCCCCATTCTCCCGCTTTCCATCACCCCGCCCCATTCTCCCGCTTTCCATCACCCCGCCCCATTCTCCCGCTTTCCATCACCCCGCCCCATTCTCCCTCCTTCCATCACCCCGCCCAATTCTCCCTCCTCCCATCACCCTGCCCCATTCTCCCGCTTCCCATAACCCCACCCCATTCTCCCGCTTTCCATCACCCCGCCACATTCTCCCACTTTCCATCACTCCGCCCCCTTCTCTCTCCTTCAATCACCCTGCCCCATTCTCCCGCATTCCACCACCCCGCCCCATTCTCCCGCTTTCCATCACCCCGCCCCATTCTCCCGCTTTCCATCACCCCACCCCATCCTCCCACCTTCTATCACCCCGCCCCATTCTCCCTCCTTCCATCACCCCGCCCCATTCTCCCGCTTTCCATCACCTCGCCCCATTCTCCCGCTTTCCATCACCCCGCCCCGTCCTCCCACTTTCCATCACCCCGCCCAATTCTCCTGCTTTCCATCACCCCGCCCCATTCTCCCGCTTTCCATCACCCCGCCCAATTCTCCCGCTTTCCATCACCCTGCCCCGTTCTCATGCTTTCCATCACCCCGCCCAATTCTCCCGCTTTCCATCACCCTGCCCCATTCTCCTGCTTTCCATCACCCCGCCCCATTCTCCCTCTTTCCATCACCCCGCCCCATTCTCCCTCCTTCCATCACCCCGCCCAATTCTCCGCTTCCCATAACCCCAGCCCATTCTCCCTCCTTCCATCACCCCGCCACATTCTCCCACTTTCCATCACCCCGCCCCATTCTCCCTCCTTCCATCACCCCGCCCCATTCTCCCGCTTCCCATAACCCCACCCCATTCTCCCGCTTTCCATCACCCCGCCACATTCTCCCACTTTCCATCACCCCGCCCCCTTCTCTCTCCTTCCATCACCCTGCCCCATTCTCCCTCCTTCCATCACCCCGCCCCATTCTCCTGCTTTCCATCAGCCCGCCCCATTCTCCCACTTTCCATCACCCCGCCCCATTCTTCTGCTTTCCATCACCCCGCCCCCTTCTCCCGCTTTCCATCACCCCACACCATTCACCTGCTTTCCATCACCCGCCCCATCTCCCGCTTTCCATCACCCCGCCCCATTCTCCCGCTCTCCATCAACCCGCCCCATTCTCCCGCTTTTCATCACCCCGCCCCATTCTCCCGCTTTCCAACACCCCTCCCCATTCTCCCGCTTTCCATCACCCCGCCCCATTCTCCCGCTTTCCATCACCCCGCCCCATTGTCCCGCTTTCCATCACTCCGCCCCATTCTCCCGCTTTCCATCACCCCTCCCCATTCTCCCGCTTTCCATCACCCCGCCCCATTCTCCCGCTTTCCATCACCCAGCCCCATTTTCCCGCTTTCCATCACCCCGCCCCATTTTCCCGCTTTCCATCACCCCGCCCCGTTCTCCCGCTTTCCATCACCCTTCCCCAATCCCCCGCTTTCCATCACCCCGCACCATTCTCCCTCCTTCCATCACCCCGCCCCATTCTCCCGCTTTCCATCAGCCCGCCCCATTCTCCCACTTTCCATCACCCCGCCCCATTTTCCCGCTTTCCATCTCCCCGCCCCAATCTCCCGCTTTCCATCACCCTGCCCCAATCTTCCGCTTTCCATCACCCCGCCCCATTCTCCCTCTTTCCATCACCCCGCCCCATTCTCCCGCTTTCCATCACCCCGCCCCATTCTCCCGCTTTCCATCACCCCGCTCCATTCTCCCGCTTTCCATCACCCCGCCCCATTCTCCCGCTTTCCATCACCCCGCTCCATTCTCCCGCTTTCCATCACCCCGCCCCATTCTCCCGCTTTCCATCACCCCGCCCCATTCTCCCTCTTTCCATCACCCTGCCCCATTCTCCCTCTATCCATCACCCCGCCCAATTCTCCCGCTTTCCATCACCCCGTCCCATTCTCCCTCTTTCCATCACCCCGCCCCATTCTTTTGCTTTCCATCACCCCACCCCATCCTCCCTCTTTCCATCACCCCGCCCCATTCTCCCGATTTCCATCACCCCGCCCCGTTCCCACGCTTTCCATCACCCCGCCCCATTCTCCCGTTTTCCATCATCCCGCCCCATTCTCCCGCTTTCCATCACCCCGCCCCATTCTCCCTCTTTCCATCACCCCACCCCATTCTTCCTCTTTCCATCACCCCGCCCCATTCTCCTGATTTCCATCACCCCGCCCCATTCTCCCAATTTCCATCACCCCGCCCCATTCTCCCTCTTTCCATCACCCCGCCCCATTCTCCCTCTTTCCATCACCCCGCCCCACTCTCCCGCCTTCCATCACCCCGCCCAATTCTCCCTCTTTCCATCACCCCGCCCCATTCTCCCTCTTTCCATCACCTCGTCCCATTCTCCCGCTTTCCATCACCCCGCCCCATTCTCCCTCTTTCGATCACCCCGCCCGATTCTCCCTCTTTCCATCACCCCGCCCCATTCTCCCGCTTTCCATCACCTCGCGCCATTTTCCCTCTTTCCATCACCCCGCCCCATTCTCCCGCTTTCCATCACCCCGCCCCATTCTCTCGCTTTCCATCATCCCCCTCCATTGTCCCGCTTTCCATCACCCCGCCCCATTCTCCTTCTTTCCATCACCCCGCCCCATTCTCCCTCTTTCCATCACCCCGCCCCATTCTCCCGCTTTCCATCACCCCGCCCCATTCTCCCGATTTCCATCACCCCGCCCCATTCTCCCTCTTTTAATCACTCGCCCCTTTCTCCCTCTTTCCATTCCCCCACCCCATTCTCCCTCTTTCCATCACCCCGCCCCATTCTCCCGCTTTCCATCACCCCGCCCCATTCTCCCGCTTTCCATCACCCCGCCCCATTCTCCTGCTTTCCATCACACCGCCCCATTCTCAAGCTTTCCATCACCCCGCCCCATTCTCCTGCTTTCCATCACCCCGCCCCATTCTCCCGCTTTCCATCACCCCGCCCCATTCTCCCGCTTTTCATCACCCCGCCCCATTCTCCCGCTTTCCATCACCCCGGCCCATTCTCCCGTTTTCCATCACCCCGCCCCATTCTCCTGCTTTCCATCACACCGCCCCATTCTCAAGCTTTCCATCACCCCGCCCCATTCTCCTGCTTTCCATCACCCCGCCCCATTCTCCCGCTTTCCATCACCCCGCCCCATTCTCCCGCTTTTCATCACCCCGCCCCATTCTCCCGCTTTCCATCACCCCGCCCCATTCTCCCTCTATCCATCACCCCGCCCTATTCTCCCGCTTTCCATCACCCCGCCCCATTCTCCCGCTTTCCATCACCCCTCCCCATTCTCCTGCTTTCCATCACCCCCCCCCCATTCTCCCGCTTTCCATCACCCCGCCCCATTCTCCTTCTTTCCATCACCCCGCCCTATTCTCCCTCTTTCCATCACCCCGCTCCATTCTCCCGCTTTCCATCACCCCGCCCCATTCTCCCGCTTTCCATCACCCCACCCCATTCTCCCGCTTTCCATCACCCCGCTCCATTCTCCCGCTTTCCATCACCCCGCCCAGTTCTCCCTCTTTCCATCACCCCTCCCCATTCTCCCTCTTTCCATCACCCCGCCCCATTCTCCCGCTTTCCATCACCCCGCCCCATTCTCCCTCTTTCCATCACCCCGCCCCATTCTCCCGCTTTCCATCACCCCGACCCATTCTCCCGCTTTCCATCACCCCGCCCCGTTCTCCCTCCTTCCATCACCCCGCCCCATTCTCCCGCTTTCCATCACCCCGCCCCATTCTCCCTCCTTCCATCACCCCGCCCCATTCTCCCTCATTCCATCACCCTGCTCCATTCTCCCGCGTTCCATCACCCCGCCCCATTCTCCCGCTTTCCATCACCCCACCACATTTTCCCACTTTCCATCACCCCGACCCCTTCTCTCTCCTTCCATCACCCCACCCCATTCTCCCTCCTTCCATCACCCCGCCCCATTCTCCCGCTTTCCATCAGCCCGCCCCATTCTCCCGCTTTCCATCACCCCGCCCCTTTCTCCCGCTTTCCATCTCCCCGCCCCATTCTCCCGCTTTCCATCACACCGCCCCATTCTCCCGCTTTCCATCACCCCGCCCCATTCTTCCGCTTCCCATCATCCCGCCCCATTCCCCCGCTTTCCATCACCCCTCCCCATTCTCCCTCCTTCCATCACCCCGCCCCTTTCTCCCCCTTTCCATCTCCCCGCCCCATTCTCCCGCTTTCCATCACCCGCCCCATTCTCCCGCTTTCCATCACCTCGCCCCATTCTTCCCCTTTCCATCACCCCGCCCCATTCTTCTGCTTTCCATCACCCCGCCCCATTCTCCCGCTTTCCATCACCCTGCCCCATTCACCCGCTTTCCATCACCCGCCCCATTCTCCCGCTTTCCATCACCCCGCCCCATTCTCCCGCTTTCCATCACCCCGCCCCATTCTCCCGCTTTTCATCACCCCGCCCCATTCTCCCGCTTTCCAACACCCCGGCCCATTCTCTCGCTTTCCATCACCCCTCCCCCTTCTTCCTCCTTCCATCACCCCACCCCGTTCTCCCTCCTTCCTTCACCCCGCCCCATTCTCCCGCTTTCCATCACCCTGCCCCATTCGCCCGCTTTCCATCACCCCGCACTATTCTCCCGCTTTCCATCACCCCGCCCCATTCTCCCGCTTTCCTTCACCCCGCCCCATTCTCCCGCTTTCCATCACCCCGCGCCATTCTTCCGCTTTCCATCACCCCGCCCCCTTCTCCCTCCTTCCATCACCCCGCCCCATTCTCCCTCCTTCCATCACCCCGCCCCATTCTCCCGCTTTCCATCAGCCCGCCCCATTCTCCCGCTTTCCATCACCCCGCCCCTTTCTCCCGCTTTCCATCTCCCTGCCCCATTCTCCCGCTTTCCATCACCCCGCCCCATTCTCCCGCTTTCCATCACCCCGACCCATTCTCCCGCTTCCCATCATCCCGCCCCATTCCCCCGCTTTCCATCACCCCTCCCCATTCTCCCTCCTTCCATCACCCCGCCCCATTCTCCCGCTTTCCATTACACGCCCCATTCTCCCGCTTTCCATCACCTCGCCCCATCTCCCGCTTTCCATCACCCCGCCCCATTCTCCTGCTTTCCATCACCCCGCCCCATTCACCCGCTTTCCATCACCCGCCCCATTCTCCCGCTTTCCATCACCCCGCCCCATTCTCCCACTTTCCATCACTCCGCCCCATTCTCCCGCTTTTCATCACCCCGCCCCATTCTCCCGCTTTCCAACACCCCGCCCCATTCTCCCGCTTTCCATCACCCCGCCCCATTCTTCCGCTTCCCATCATCCCGCCCCATTCCCCCGCTTTCCATCACCCCTCCCCATTCTCCCTCCTTCCATCACCCCGCCCCTTTCTCCCGCTTTCCATCACCCCGCCCCATTCTCCCGCTTTCCATCACCCGCCCCATTCTCCCGCTTTCCATCAACTCGCCCCATTCTCCCGCTTTCCATCACCCCGCCCCATTCTTCTGCTTTCCAGAACCCCGCCCCATTCTCCCGCTTTCCATCACCCTGCCCCATTCACCCGCTTTCCATCACCCGCCCCATTCTCCCGCTTTCCATCACCCCGCCCCATTCTCCCGCTTTCCATCACCCCGCCCCATTCTCCCGCTTTTCATCACCCCGCCCCATTCTCCCGCTTTCCAACACCCCGGCCCATTCTCTCGCTTTCCATCACCCCGCCCCCTTCTTCCTCCTTCCATCACCCCGCCCCGTTCTCCCTCCTTCCTTCACCCCGCCCCATTCTCCCGCTTTCCATCACCCTGCCCCATTCTCCCGCTTTCCATCACCCCGCACCATTCTCCCGCTTTCCATCACCCCGCCCCATTCTCCCGCTTTCCATCACCCCGCCCCATTCTCCCGCTTTCCATCACCCCGCGCCATTCATCCGCTTTCCATCACCCCGCCCCCTTCTCCCTCCTTCCATCACCCCGCCCCATTCTCCCTCCTTCCATCACCCCGCCCCATTCTCCCGCTTTCCATCAGCCCGCCCCATTCTCCCGCTTTCCATCACCCCGCCCCTTTCTCCCGCTTTCCATCTCCCTGCCCCATTCTCCCACTTTCCATCACCCCGCCCCATTCTCCTGCTTTCCATCACCCCGCCCCATTCTCCCGCATCCCATCATCCTGCCCCATTCCCCCGCTTTCCATCACCCCTCCCCATTCTCCCTCCTTCCATCACCCCGCCCCATTCTCCCGCTTTCCATTACACGCCCCATTCTCCCGCTTTCCATCACCTCGCCCCATCTCCCGCTTTCCATCACCCCGCCCCATTCTCCTGCTTTCCATCAACCCGCCCCATTCACCCGCTTTCCATCACCCGCCCCATTCTCCCGCTTTCCATCACCCCGCCCCATTCTCCCACTTTCCATCACCCCGCCCCATTTTCCCGCTTTTCATCACCCCGCCCCATTCTCCCGCTTTCCAACACCCCGCCCCATTCTCCTGCTTTCCATCACCCCGCCCCATTCTCCCGCTTTCCATCACCCCGCCCCATTCTCCCTCTTCCCACCCCGCCTCATTCTCCCTCCTTCCATCACCCCGCCCCATTCTCCCGCTTTCCATCACCCCGCCCCATTCTCCCGCTTTCCATCACCCCGCCCCATTCTCCCGCTTTCCATCACACCGCGCCATTCTTCCGCTTTCCATCACCCCGCCCCCTTCTCCCTCCTTCCATCACCCCGCCCCATTCTCCCTCCTTCCATCACCCCGCCCCATTCTCCCGCTTTCCATCAGCCCGCCCCATTCTCCCGCTTTCCATCACCCCGCCCCTTTCTCCCGCTTTCCATCTCCCTGCCCCATTCTCCCACTTTCCATCACCCCGCCCCATTCTCCTGCTTTCCATCACCCCGCCCCATTCTCCCGCATCCCATCATCCTGCCCCATTCCCCCGCTTTCCATCACCCCTCCCCATTCTCCTTCCTTCCATCACCCCGCCCCATTCTCCCGCTTTCCATTACACGCCCCATTCTCCCGCTTTCCATCACCTCGCCCCATCTCCCGCTTTCCATCACCCCGCCCCATTCTCCTGCTTTCCATCACCCCGCCCCATTCACCCGCTTTCCATCACCCGCCCCATTCTCCCGCTTTCCATCACCCCGCCCCATTCTCCCACTTTCCATCACCCCGCCCCATTCTCCCGCTTTTCATCACCCCGCCCCATTCTCCCGCTTTCCAACACCCCGCCCCATTCTCCTGCTTTCCATCACCCCGCCCCATTCTCCCGCTTTCCATCACCCCGCCCCATTCTCCCTCCTTCCCACCCCGCCTCATTCTCCCTCCTTCCATCACCCCGCCCCATTCTCCCGCTTTCCATCACCCCGCCCCATTCTCCCGCTTTCCATAACCCCGCCCCATTATCCCTCCTTCCATCACCCGCCCCGTTCTCCCTCCTTCTATCACCCCGCCCCTTTCTCCCTCCTTCCATCACCCCGCCCTATTCTCCCGCTTTCCATCAGCCCGCCCCATTCTCCCGCTTTCCATCACCCCGCCCCATTCTCCCGCTTTCCATCACCCCGCCCCATTCTCCCGCTTTCCATTACCCCGCCCCATTCTCCCGC